AATATATATATATATATATATATTATTTTGAAGACAAGTGAAGCGCTTGCTGTTCATTTATTGTTGAATTTATCACTAACAAGTCACAGACACCTTCTGTAGAAGAATCCTGAGCCCAACAACAACATAGTATATATTTATACTATTAAGAAATACAAATAAAAGCCTTTTATTTCAACAGTTGGTAAAAGAATTATATTTATAAGTTCTGATAAGGTGTTTTTTCTTTTGATTGTTAAATATATTATACTATTGCTGTAATTACATTATTTTGTATTGATAAATATTGCAATATTCTTTCAAAAAATAATAACAAAGTTAGATATTAATAGATTACATTGATTATTATTTGTTCTCATTTAGAGAAAGAAAACCAAAGAAAAAGATTGTGAATATTCTGTTTTGGATCTGCTACAGGCAGCATTTAAACTTCTACTTCACAACATAGCATTTTTCCGGGTAAAGTGGGACTGGAGTTGTCTTGTATCATTCCTATGTCATGAGCAGGAAGAAGTGAGATGGTAAACCCATTTTATTTGTATTATAATACAGAATGCTTTGTCCATTCTGAAGGCATTTCCCTCAGATTATCAGTGCATATTTGAAATGGTGTGAATATGCACATTTAGTCATTGGAGATCAAAAGTATGTACACTAAAGTGTTTTATTTACACTGTACTTGATTGATGAAGATTGCTGCCACCTTTTGACAATGTATAAATACTTTCACAGTGACATCACATGAGACTATTCATTTTATTTTATTATATAAACCTCCACTTTGTTTCTTACTTTATTTATTTAATATTTTAGGCTCTATTGTGGGAAGCTATTATATTCTCTAATGTAATCAGTCATATAGTTGGTTAAGTTTGTTATTTTGTTTGTTTGGACCTGACTCACTTGAGTGCATGGGCTCACTAATGAATTTAAACAGTTGCACACTGCTCTGCACACAGCTTTGTATGCCGTCATTAGTTTGTTTATGGTCCAGCAAATCAAAGTAAACATATTCAATAACCCTACGTCCATTTCGTGGTGAGGATACATTTTTTCAGCTTTCAAAGGTATGAAACAATCTTTTAAATACTTTATGTACTTTGTAGTGCCATAATTAGTAGGGGGCCTACATCAATTCTAGCTATTCTCAAAACTTGTGCCATCGATCCAACAAGCAGTGTTGTTTTCCTTATTGTACAATTATCGCTGTGAATTATCCATGGGTCTCTAATAGTTACATTAATGTAGAACATATGAAATATTTTAATGTAATTTTGATTTAACCCAGCTTTTTTGTTTCTTTGAAAGATATGTTTGTTAATAATTATTTCATGTACAAGTTTGTTAATGAAACAACTTTACATGTTATTTACTTTAGAAATGGCATTTTCTTGAATAACATGCTAACATGCTTTTATAATTAATCGTTGTACAGTTTTAATAAGCATATGTTTACATAGGTTTGTAATTGATTTATAATTGTTTTTTTTTCATGAAATGTTTTCTGGTTCTTTTTAGGCTTGCATGCAGGTGTATTGCAAGTGTTAGTGGTATGAGTGAAATAGATTTGAAGTGTTTATTGAAGAAATATTTGACAGAGGAGCAAATCTTAATCATGTCTATAAGGTAAAAAATTTTGTCTTGTTGTGAGGTATTATAGGTTATATACTGTTGCAGTTTGTTGTAGAAATATACTTCAAATAAAAATACTGAAAACCTAGATTGCAACATTTTAAAAATTTACATGAATGTTTATTAAGCCACTTGTAACAGATAGATGTACTTCAACTGAAATGTAATGCTTCCATCTAAAAGCAAGTAATATATATGACACAAAAAACTGTATAATTTTGAAAGCAAACATTATCCTGGTCCTAATACATGGACTATTCCTAGTTTTTGTAATTGAACCAACATAAAAATGTTGTCTTGTGAAAGATTTGAATAACTGGTTTTTTAACCACTTGTACAAAATATTTCACTTTCTCAAACAATACCAGACTCAGGCCTAATTATGCAGTTTTTAGGCTATACAATCAAGTTGTTTATAAAATACTAGACTCAGGCCTAATTATACAGTTTTTAGAATGCACAATCAGGTTGTTTTTCTGATAACAGACACTTGATTGACTCACTGAAGAGATTATAAGACTTCCAAAACTTCACTAACTGTGTATTATCTAACTCTTAATCAAAACTGAAAAACTGATTACATAAGATTTCACCAAATACTGCTAATGCATACAGTGCTTTCTCTCTCTAAAATCATTAACAAGATAGATAATTGTAATACAATATTTTTTAAAAAAACAATAAAATACAATTCAGAAACATTTAAAAACAAAACATTAATTGTTCATTTAAAGCAAGTATGAATCTTGTTTCATAGGAACTTCACATGAATACTATGAGAATTAAAATGAGAAATAACACTTGGTTAGATATAATGTCTTCTGATATTGAAGTTTTGTATGGTATGTTTCTTAGCAAAATTAAAGTTTTACTGCAGCACTATAATCTAGAGTTGTAGTACTTGCTTTTTTGAAGGAGTCATATTAAGAAAATTGTTCCTTTGTTTTGTTAGCAAACTTCTAGCAGACACTGTATTTGTCTACAAAGCTTGAATACCAATGTGTAATGTTTTTTTGGGAACTTTAGGGAAAAAAAGTGAGTGGTGTAAAAAAATCAATATACTGTATTTAAATTTTTCAATAAAACAATATTTTGAATTTTATCAAAACAATATTTACATCTACTATATTTATAATTAATATATTTTATAAAGAAATGGAATATTAAGGATTATTATTTATATACTGTGTATAAGTCTACTTATGTTATAATAGGTAAATATAGTAATTAAACATGAGTACCCAATGTAGTTTTTGTAAACAAGAATTACTAAACTATTGATTTTGTATTAACCCTCTTGCTACAGGTCTTCCTATGGTCAGGGGTCAAAGGGCATTTCATCACATTTGTGGACTTGCATTCAAAATTTTTTTTAACTATTATTTTAGGAATGTAGGTCAATAAGTTTGTTATCAAATTGTAGAATATAATTCAAATTTTAATATTATACATTAGTTAGTTTCTAAATTTAGAAGAACATATTAAAAAAAATCCTAAATATAATTTTTTTTGTCTTGTTGTATGTTGATTGCAGCTTTGATTATAAATTAGATGTTTGTGATGTCCAAATACAAAGTCTATAGTTTCTAATAAATTAAAAACTCAAATTACAGATACTGGCAAGTTAGAATATAAAATAAGAATCTCCTGTCTTTTCTATTTGCTGAGATATCACTATATTTAGCAAATCAAATGCAGTGGTCCCATCCACTTTTTCCATTTCTGGAAATACTTCCTTATGTACACTCGCTTCTCTCTGTCTTGGCTTTATAGCCAATGAAAAGCTCAGAAATGAAGGTGGAAAGTTCACAAGACTATTTCTTTTGTCTTGAATCTTGGAAGGAAGGGTATGTGAAAAGGTTGTTCGAAAAACTATTTTTTAGACCCAAATACAGGTTAGTTAGTAAGCTGATAAATTACAGTGGAATTCTGTGATATTGATAGAGTAACTTATATTTTTTTGTTATTTCAATATGTGTATATAAAACCTAAAAAAGTTATTTTGTTTTACATCCTCTTAAGTGAGAAATTTGACAAGGCTTAGTAAGCAAGGTACGATATGTCAGGTACGGCAAGCTGGTGCAAACTTCTTTACAATCATAAGTAGTAGAGATGATTGTTTTATGTATTTCTTCATTTACTGTTCTATGCTTTAAGAAAATAACTAAAATTGAAGAACTTATTTGTAAATAGTAATAACATATATACATATGTGATGTATTTTAATTGAAATGTGACTGTATTTTACAAAATACTGGTTCACTGGAACAAAGCCAAGACAGGTCACTTCATAAAGGCCAGTTTTATACTATTGGATATGGTAACATGAATGCACATGTGCTGTGTCATCGCAACTTCTTTAATGTTAGTCAGACATGCCTGAAAAGTCAATAATATAAAAATAATAAATATATATAGATGTATAATTTTATGAGATTTAAGGCATTTAGACTAAACATTTGTGGTTTCTTGTTATAATATGTAGTCATTCTAGAACAAAAAAGCATAATCTATATCTATTTCCTAATTTGAGATCAGTCAAATTGACAAAATCTATACAGAGATACAATAGTGAAAATAACAGATAAAATATAAAGTTTTTTTCTAAACAAAAACGTTTGATATTTATTTGGAGCTTATAAAGATTTCACATGTGAAATTGTAAAATTTTTTTGATGCATAAAAGTATTTTTAGTCTTAAGATCAAAATTACTCTGCATGTTGGACAGTCAACATTTGAAAAGAAAAAATGCACAAGCAAATCATTACTTAAGAAACCTTAAACCTAATAAAAAAATACCCTGAAATTTTGTGTATGAAAGCCTTGTAATGTTTACTGATAATCTGCAGTATTTTGTGACGATACACATACTGTATTAAAAGTTATGGTATGAAAATTATAACAAGGACAAAATGGTTATGAGGTTGGTCCCTGGGACCGAGCCTGTAGTGAGAGAGTTAAAGATGAATTGTACTTTAATTAAAACTTCAAGTTTGTATCATACATAATAGTATTATGAAAATTTGAATAGAAAAATAATAGTATAAATTAATTTTAAATGTAGAAATTATATATATGTTTAAGTATATACAAATAAATAAAGCAAAGTACTCTTTCAAAGGTGATAATATAAGTAAACAATACTCAGTCTTCAACTAGAAAATTTTTAAATTTGTTTTTATTTACGTGTAAATGCATATATAAATTTTTTATAAACTCATTTTCCAGTTTTATAGTCCAACATACAGAAGACTGTTATAAATCTTGAAATACATTTTATCTATTCTAGTAACCAGGTAAAATAACCTAAGCTTATAAAAATTTAATGTTATTTCTTTATGACCTGTTGCTTTCTGACCATGCATATATGGATATGAATTTGAGTTTTGAGCAAAAGAATCGTAATTTATCACTTTCAGAATGTATCAAATTCAATAAAAGGTCAATGATCTATAGAAAAAAGTGGCATGGAAATATCTGGCTCAAAAACCTCCAAAAGTGTTCAGAATACAAGATTTTGAATCTAATTTTAAACATTTTACAGGGGAGCATGCCCTCAGGAACTCTATAGAACTGCTCGCATCTCACGTCTTCAGCATGGCTTAGGCCTTTTAAAACATCTTTCAAGCCTCCTAGAAACAAAATCATTGAAAACCCTAAGAGTAAAACATTGTCTCATGCTACTGCATGGGAAATTCTTTTAAATCTTTATAACTGGACTAAACCCTGGAACTTTGAAGCTATACATACTAGAACTGTAAATTTACTAAGTGTATTTTCATGAAATTTGTTAAGCTTTTAGTAAACCTTAAAAGTCTGTTGTACACACAAAAAGGTGGCTTTTTAAATTAAATGTTTATACTGAAAACTGATTTTCATGCTAAAAACAAGTATACTTCTTTTCATCTTACAGTCACATATTTTAGTTGCATGACCACTAGAACCTCCTAATTGAATATCAACTGTTTTTTTATGATAAAATTTCATACTGTATCTCTTATTTTCTCTATCCTAACAACAACAGTATATTGATTCTGGAGTATGCAGAGAAACCAACAATTTAAATTTGAAAAATATGAAATAAAATGAGTAATACTATTATTCCCTCTGAACTGGCTAAAGTAATGATAAGAAAGTTTCTAAAATACTTTTAACAGTTTTAACTGTTTTACATGTTTTCTTTTATGGTTTTATTCAGTACTTTATACCCACTGAAACAGTAATTCACCTGTCCATAAATGGTAAATCACAGTGGTAGCCATTGATTATTGATTTCTGCCTGACTGAAATATAAATAGAATGTGATTGGTATGGTGAAATATGCATTGATTAGTTCAAGCTTGTGAAGATTTGAATGTTTTATTACTAAGCACGGTAGTGCTTAGTATGTAGGGATGGACCAGAAAAAAATACACGATGCATATTATGTATTGCTCATCATAGTCTCAAATCTCTTATAACAATGTAAGAGATTTTAATAAACAACTAACTTATGTTTTTGAGGTTTTCAAAAGCTATTAAGACCTTCAGTTTAGCCAAAAATTGTTGCTAAAGTAGAGAACTGGCAAGTAGTGTAACACGCAAATGTTCTTCTGATTTTTCTGACTCTGGCATCAGAATCATCAATGCTTGAAGTTGTTGCGATGTCTTACACACCAAAATGTTGCATTTTAACTTTGGAAGTGCAGAAGCAGTATAGCATTTCACTAACTTTGATACATGATGTCCATCAAGACAATTCATCATGCCATGCTAAAACTTCTGCCTTTGTAGCAGCTGCCATTCATTATAAAATATTTGTTGGTATTGTTTAAAAAAAGAGGGGGGAAACAAGTAAAAAAAATTTGTTAAATAAGGTGATGTAGGGATGGCAATGCCAAAAAAGTACAGAAACAATGTAGGAATGAATACACAAAACCTTATAAAAAAAATTCTTGAAATGGAAAAATTGGAGCTCAGATTGAGATTTTTTTTAATGTTTTCTTTTGAAACTAAAACTTAGATAATATCAAACTTTGAACTGTAAACTACATATTCATTCTGTGTTTATTGAAATACATTGATAATAATATTGTTTAATTAAATTTTGAAAATAACACTAAAAATCATGGTATGCACAACTAAACAGCTTGTAAAAAAATTATCTCTATAGGTGTGGGGATAAGTTAGTAAATTGGATAAAAGTGTGGCTGGATGGAAGAAAGCAGAGGATTGTTACAAATGCATTTGAGTCAAACTGGATTAATGTCACAAGTGGGGTAACTCAGAGCTCAGTCTTATGACCTTTGCTCTTTTTGATTTACATCAATGACATAGATGAAGGAATAGTAAATAAATTACATAAATTTGCAGATTATATTAAGGTCTTGGATGTTGCTAGCTGTGAAGAGGATGCTACTGATTAACAAAAGGATTTAAGTCATTTAGTGAGTTGGGCAGATAAATGGCAGATGGGTTTTAATTGTAATAAATGCAAGATAATGCATGTGGGTAATCATAAGTTGAATTATAAGTATAATTTGGATGGGAATAACCTAAACAGTGTTATGAAGGAAAGGGATCTTTGGTGTAATAGTCGATCAGTCTCTAAAGTCATCCAAGCAGTGTGCTGTTGCTAGTGGTACTGCAAATAGAATTTTAGGTTGTATCTACGGAAATATTGAATACAAGTCTAAAGAGGTTATAATTTCATTGTACGGGTCACTGGTTAGGCCACATTTTGAATATTTTTTCTGGTCTTGAGCTCCTTACCTTAGGAAAGACATTGAATTGTTGGAAAGGGTTCAGAGAGGGGTTACTAAAATGGTGCCTGGGATAGAGGGGTTTTCATATGAGGAGAGGCTGAAATCTCTCAAATTGTTTTATCTTGAAAAAAGAAGAGTTGGTTGAGGTGTTTAAGATTGTAAAGGGAATTGATAGTGTTGATGCATCATTTTTTTCATATTTAACAGTGAGAATAGTAGGACTAGGGGACACAAATATAAATTTTGGCAAGGTAGGAGCCACCTTCAGCTAAAACAATTTCATTTTTCTAACAGGGTGGTTGGCCTTTGGAGTGGGTTGCCTTCAGATGTAGTAGAGGTTGTAACTGTAAATGAGTTTAAGAAAGAGCTTGATAAGTATATGAATGATAAGAGCTGACTTTAAGATTTTTTATTTATTTTTAATTATTTTAATTTAGTTTAGAGAATGGAACAGCCGAGATAGGATCAATAGTTCCCACGTTGTTCCAAAACGTTATGTTAAGGTTAAAGGGCATACAGTTGCTACTCAGTGGTGTGGAATTGTACATCCTTATTATAATTAAAAAAAAACAATAATGGAATAACTAGTTTAATATTATACTAAAATGAAGTGGTAGCTCATCCTTTTGATGCATACATTTTTAATATGTATGCACACATCTACAATCCAATTCAAACCTAATTAGATATCAGGAGCCACATATCCAATCAAAACTACTGTTGGTCCATTTTTTTTTTTACAATTCTAGATTGAGTATTTTCTTTTCTTATGTCTAGAGATAGATAGGTATAGAACTGTATTCCATGGCCTCATAATGTGCGTAGACTTTATAGACAATTGTAGATGTTCCTGCAGATAAACTCTCTACTGGTATTTACAGGTTCAATTAATGTGACCTTGAATTATTCATATTGCACTTGCTTGTGCTGTTCTTTGAATGAAATACATTATAATGAAGACAAGATTCACGTGTGAGTGTTTATGAGGATTTTGTGCTTCTCAGTATGAAACTAAGTATGCCTCAACTCCAACATATAGTGAATACATAGACATGAAATTTACAAAATATGACAGTATGCCATCAACTAATTAAAATACTAAGACCTTTCTTTTACAGAATATGAAGGTATAAACTATAACTTTTTTTATTCTGTTTTATATTTTTTCATAATGTGGTTTCATGCCTGACAAAATATCTGAAATTTATTAATTTCTTTAGTTTTTCTGTTGAGTTGAGGCTGATGTCAAACACTTTCTTTTAAGCCCTGTATTATTTTGTTTAACATTTATCCATATAATGTTTAAAATATCTGTTTACTAGAGTATGTAAGATATTCATTAATTAGACTGAATTATTTATGTTTGGTAGAATATTTTAAATTTTTGAGTAATTTCACATAGTAGAATGAAATACATGTTTATTAGAGTAATTGAGAATATTTCTATTCTAGAATATATAGAATTTATTATCTAAGTAAATAAAATGTATTTATTGACTAGTTTGTACATTTAGTAATAGTAGTATTCATCCTTTTAATTTCATTTAGTACTAGTTAATGTACCCATTAAGTGAATGTAGAAGACAAGGACTCTCAGACAGTGCAAGCTTCAGATGTAGAACCTCTATATTACTTTATGGTGTGTTCTAAATGTACCTATGAAGTTTGGTTGCAATCAGTAGCAAAGAATGGGGGAGCACATGGACACTTGGGGCCCACAACTGAACACAAACACCTTATGTCACTCCACATGCCAAGGTCATTTGATATCAGTGAAAAACAGGGTGTTAAAGTTGACACACAAACACTGAGGTGATACTTATGCTTTAGATATATATATATACATGTATATATAATGTAAATGTTTATAATATTACGTTCTTTATTATGAAAGTACAAGGGGAACTTGGTGATGTAATAGGTCAGTTGGAATTCATTGAATTAAATGAATTTGAATTGTATGATTTATACTTTATGATCAATATAACATCTGAATAAATAAGTGTGATTTTAGTTTTAAAAGAAGATTTTTTTTCCTTTCATGTAGGTACTATAACACACTGCAGACAGGTAACACAACTATGGTGACATCAGAAGTCAACAAAGAGCCTGCACAGGAAAGTATTAGCTTGAAAATGTATACACAAGGAAGTTTACTCATCTCTGATGCTTGCACACAAGTTACTGCAGTTGGTGGTATTCTCCTCCCCAGGCTTACTTCCACTGAAAAGGTCAATTGCTAATGTATTAAATTTTGCTCTTGTGAAGTTCTGTGCGAATTATGAATTAAAGTACAATTTTTAATGGTGGATCTTGTCTTTTTGATGAAGTAAAGCATGTAACAAAAAATTGAAAGTTAAAAAATATATGTAGTCTTATATTAAGATAGTTTATATTGTATTATGTTGTAAAAGCAGGCAGGATCATTAAATATTTAGCTAAAAAATGTTTTTTGAACCCAACCTTGATGGTGGTGTTGGGTTAAGAAAATTTGCTTCAAATAAACTTGATATTTTAGGAATAAATTCAGCTGGATCAAACACCAGGCCAAGAAGTTAGTCTCATTGAAAAAATGTTAACGTCAGAGCAAAAAATATACAAGTATTTTGTTTTTGAAATTAACAAAATGATGCAGAGTTCTAATATATCATATTGCCAAAAGTATAGACATATGTACAACTTGTGCATTGACTTTTTTCTCCAGACTTGAAGGATTTCAAGTTAAGTTCTTGATTACAGTGTATAAAATTATATATAAGTAAAGAACCCAATAACCCTAGCTCTCTGGCAACTAGTAATAGAGTCTATTTCATAAAATACTAATACCAGTATCATAAATTTTGATTTAATTGTTTTATTGTAGTCATATGCCTTCCTCTTACATACTGAATGTGTTATGTATAATAATCTACATAAGTAAAATGTTTCACTAATATGAAAAGGTAATTTAAAAATTTCTACCTTGTATCAAATATGTGATTTTTTTTATTGTAAAAAAATGAGTCAAAAATATTTGACTATTCTATACACCTCATTAATTCCTGGAAATTTGAAGAATGGCCATTTTCCTATGCATTAATAATTAATGAATTTTTTCACATGACCTTAATAGCTTTTATTGCAATTAAAGGTAATAATTCAAACAATAAAAAAGTGCAAACTATGAATACGTACAATTAATATGTGTTTTATATATTAACAAAGTGTTTTTAACATAACATCTTTACTTTTTATACCTTGTGCCACAGTGTTAAAAAGTAATAGGAATATGGGAGGCTACAATGAGCTGCCTTTATTCTCTGTAGATTTAGTAAAATTTACCTCATGATAGTTCTACTCTTCCTTGGATAGATATACAGTAGAAGAAAGTTTACAATGTCTTCAATCTTTCCCTTGTGTATGCAAGAAGAACAGAGTTTAAGATGCTTCAGCAGTAATATACCTTTCATTTTTTATTTCATCTGTTTACCTTACCTTGTTTGTTTTCATTTTCTGTCTACTTTACAGCACTGGTTTACTTTAAGTTTTCTGTTTACAATGGTTGTTTACTTTTCCATATTATTT